GGCCAGGAACCGGCAGCGGGTGCAGGAGCTGCGGCAGATGGCATTTGGGCGCCGCGCGGGCGCCACCAAGAAGGGCAAGCTCCGGAAGAGGATGTAGGAGATGGGGCCCTGCCTGGCGCTGCAGTGCCAAAGGAGAGGCTTCCCTTGCTTTGGACTTGGTGTCAGGAAAGGAGACATTAAAGATCAGGCTGGTTTTGGATGCTGCCTCCTCTTTGGCCTTGTCCCAAGCACCTTGTTGAGGAGTAGCAGAACTGGGTGCTGACTCTTGGGGTCATGGGGGAAGGGGAAATCGCATGCCAGGCTTTAGGACCAGTCCCAGCACAGTCGCACCCCTTGCCAGGCCCTTTCCCTGCCTGCCCTCCATGTGCACTAGCTCCTACCCACCCCGGCATGGCCTGGCACCCCTTCCATGCCATACACTTCAACGCAGAACTGTGCTGGCACCAGAGCTGCTCTTCTACAGGAGCTGCAGCAAATGCTGCCCTGCTGCTCTTGGTGCCTGGGGGGATTCCTCCCCACTTAAGCAACCCCAGGACTCAATCCTAAAACAAGCAGGCCAAGCAGCTGGGTTGTATTTTGACAGCTTTAGGTGTTACCAAGAACATCATCGTGAGTGGCAGCTCTCCATTCTCCCGGCCTCACTCCTTGCTGCTTCTACAGCCCCCATTTCAGGATCAGCCCTGGGGACGTCTCCTTCTGCCAGGCCCTTGACACAAATCTGTGCCATCGTGGTGCTTGAAAGCCCCCTGTCCTGCTGCCATCTCCATCACAGGTCAGCATGGAGGGGCACCCTGACATATTGGAGATGGGGAGCAACTTTGGTCCCCAGGTATTTGCTGGGTGTCCTGGCCAGGCTCACGGGCTGGGCCTCTCCCCAGCCGCTGGGGCAGGTGGCTGTTCTCGGAGCAGGGGTTATTCCCATCTCGGAGGGGCTGGAGGCGGGGGAGTGGTGGGCACCCCGGGACACAGCACAGCCCGGATGGCAGCCAGATCCTGCATGCAGAGCAGCACCTGCAGAGACAGGGACCTTCGATCCAGGCGGGCCAGGGACACGAGCATCCCCATTCCCACTCAGGTGCCCAGGGAGAGGACTGGGCTGACCGTGTCTAGCTGGGCCTCGGTGTCCTCCAGGACCGCGTTGGTTGGGACCTTGAGCTGCTTGGTGGCCAGCTGGAAGAGGTTGAGCACTGCCATGCGGATCTGCCCCAGCAGCAGGGTCTTCTGGGCAGCTGTGGTCTGGATGTGGGTCCAGTGGGACTCCTGGGGCAGGACAGGAGGGAGCCCTGGTCACAGGGTCA